CACACCCGAGTCCTTGAAGGCACAGGATTTTCTTATAGTAGGTACAGTAGCGGTCAAAAGTGTTCGCCGAAACGATTTTAGTGCATTATTTTTTCTCGCTTGAGCAACGCCCTCCAAAGATTGATATACTATGTTTCTAGTGTTTTTATATCCTCAAGTCTTAAAGAATCAGGATATTCAAAAGAAAAAATTTTCGAGGTCACCATTGATTTTTTCTGGCAAAAAAAGAGAAGCACGAAAAACCGTTTCGGCGAACACTTTTGACCGCTACTGTACATATTCCTCCTCCAACAGACAATTTGTCGCGCCTGCCTTTTGAGCAGTAGTCCAGGATTGAGCGGGCGCCCACTAAAATTGAGGTAAAGGTGGTCAGTAGTGTTGGGATGAAGAAAGAACCATAACAAATGGCCTAGAGCACGAAAATGAGACCCCTTACGTGCTGCTTGATTTCCGCATTAAATGCGACGTATCCACCGATGTCCCCTCTTCAAACGCTAACGCTCTCTCTCTCTCTCGTGCTGAACGACTAAGACTCAGACATGAACGACGCGGAAGGAAGGCAATACGGTCACCAGCGCGTCAAACTAGGCCCATGCCGGGAAGGTCCACTGGCTGAATGCTGAGTATCATCTTGCGCTGGCGGATTGCGGTGTCGGTTTCGCATTGCTTGGCGTCCTTCTATCTTCCCGCTAAATAAAGTTTCCCCTTCTTCGCTTATCGGGAATCTTCTTGAAGCTAATGCGAACGGATGGAAGGCTTGCATGCTTTGGGTGAGATGACGCGAGAATCGACTCCGAATGAAGCGAGTGGTGGAATGTGGCGCTATTATCCAACACATTACATCTACCTGTGGCCCATTTTGGTCACTCCAAACGAGGAAAAATAGGCCTAACTCTCAGGAATACAAGAAAATTCCATTTACCTCGATGTACCTAAACAATAATATTAGGTTGTCCCATAATTAGTGAATCACTTTGGGTATTTTTGAATTCGAATTTTTTTCTTTTTCATATGGAGTCTCTTGCTCATCCAAACATACATCCCTGTCATCTACAATGTATTGCCTATACAGGGAAATTTTGTCGCTGTCTTATCTCTAGAAATCCAGGAGCTATTGATCGAAGAAAGATCGGAAGTCGAGTTTGAGGTCATGTCACTTAGCGTAAAATTCCTTCCTGGGGAAGAGCGCTAGAGGTCAAACTGAGTTGCCTCTTGTTGGCACGAGGATAGGGCCACACAGAGGAAGTGGAAGATCGGCTAGCTTGAGAGTCTCTAATTTTTTATGAATATTCTCCGCAAGGTGGGTCGAACGACCTCAGGAAAAAAGCAGACTTTGTCTTGCTTTACTTTCAAATTGAATGCGCCGCCATTACGCTGTAGATGTTGATCTTCTTCAGTGACTCTAGTATTACTGGGCGGCGGTTCCCAGCGCATGGTCACTCTCGTGCTCCACCAATATCTCTGAAGGGTCGGACTAGAATGAGGTTTGGCTTTTGCTATCAGAACTCCCGAATCGTTCACGCTAGGCTACTGCTCCTCGGAGATTTGCTAGTACACTTCACGCAGTCCAGAACCCTGGTGAATAAGCTGGATGATCACTGTAAGGAACTAAGGGAGATCAGAAGGAACATGACGATGTCAGATCGTGTGCGGAGCTGTTTCGAGCTCAAAGCACACGAGATACAAATTAAATATTTTAAAATCGTTACAACTCTACGTAGATGTCTACATTCCATTATTTTAACAAGTCGGGCATGCTCTAGCAAAAGGCGGCTAGTTCGTCCATATTCACGCTTAGTGGCGCTGGGTATAGCACTGAGATTGCCAGTTGAGGGGTAGTTGGAGTGTGGGTCATCTTCAACTAAAAAAGCCAACCTCTCGATAGAGTGAACTATAAGCAGACCGTGGAGTGAGGGAGCGTGCCCTTGCCTATCTGCTGGTCGATTCTCTATATTGTTGGGCGTTTGAAAGATCTAATCAGAAGTGATTAAGAAGGGAGCTCAAAAATAGGTTCCAGAAAAATTGAAATGTCAGCCACGGAAGGCAGCATGGAAATGGGCTGAGTAATTGCTCAAGTAGGACAATGTGGATGCTACTTCGCAAAACATGTTTCACGCCTTCACCAATTTTCTTGGATTTTTAATAACGATAAATGTAAAGTGATTCACTAATTATGGGACAACGCAATATTTCTTATCCAAATTTCTCTGCATGGCTTTCCCAAAATTATCTTTAAGAATTCGTAAGGGGCTCGGGAATATTCCTGGTGTGATGCGCTTGCCATACATTGCCCGTCGCAGTTCCTTATACCTGAACGAATCATTTTTGTGGAACCTTCATAATAAATCAGCGCGAGTCATCCATGCGGAACTATAGGCGACAATCTCCGCAACAACGAATATTCTCTCAGAGGCGATGAAAAACGTTATTCATAGATACCGTAAAATTGCGGGAAAAGAAGTTTCCCATTCGCCTCATTCACAAAAATTACTTAACAATGTCACGAGAACGACTTTCACAGTCACGACGAAATCAGGTTGAGGGGTTCAGCGAAGAACATGGAGGAAGAGGGGGCCATTCCATTCTGCTCTGTGGCTCTAACGATAAGATCAAGATAGTGTTGACACCGGTCACAGAGAAGAGCTCTTGCTAACACTTTTAATTCGAAGGTCTTTGATAAAGGACCTGCTTAACAGCTTGGAATGACGCGATCTCGTGCCACCGAGCCGGATAATGTTTTGCCTAACCCAAGGTAAGAGTCAATTTGGGAGGAATCCAAAGCGGGGGACTGCTGAAATGTTAAAAATAGATTTGACTGCCGATGAAGGCATTTCAACGGTTCTTATCAATAGGTTTCTTTAAATGGGCGTGCCATTGAAGTCGTTGAAAGCTACACCCACACATCGATAGGTGGGGCAAAAGTGATCTGAAATTGTGGATGCCCAGTTGGTTGTGAATAAAAAAAAAATAAACAAAGAAAAATCCCTTGAAATAGCGAGGGGGTGGGGCTGGACGAGCTGTCCGAACCGGCTTGCTCCGCTGGCATTTATGCTGGCACGCGCCAGTAAAAAATGCGAGCCAGCATAAATGCGGCTGCAACTGCATATACACCAGTACAAATAAAGCAACATGATTACGGCTAGCAAGTAGGTGGATCGATGGAAAAGGAGGATCAATCGAGTTGGCACACGGCCAAGTCCCTTATAGTGGCTTCCCAAGGTGAGGTCTAGTTCAGCGAGACTTCTTATGTTCTTGTGTGGGGCTCATGCATCTTCTCCACACCATTATTAGCCAAATTCGGATCCCGCTAAGGTTGTTGTTTTGGGCTTCAGCTAGAGGTATCGTCAGCCCTATTTTTATCCATATCGTTACAGCCAGAAAGCAGAACGGAACCCTCCAACTCCATTTTTACCGATCTAACATTGTTGGAGACTGGCTTACTCACCGCACGGGCTACTGCCGAGGAAGCGTCACCCGTCGTCTACCTGGAACCTCCGCCACCCTCTCCACTCCCACTCCTTCCTTTTCATAAATATCAATTTTATCGCAAGCTTTTTTCCAAATGGAATCCCAAATTATTTGTGCAATTAAGTGTCTCAATACCAACTCCACTACATGGTTTCAACCTTGATATCCCTCGAGTTACAGTAGAAGTCCCTTGAGTTGCAGAAGAAATTTTCCTGGAAAAATTCCGAGAGAGAGAGGGAAACCTGCCGTAGCAGCAAAACGTCGTCAATCAGCTGAGCAGAAAATAAAAGAAGAAAATAGGATGAAGTGAAGGGGATAATCCTACGCTTCACACTAACTTCATTTTCTCGGCTCCGATTGTTAACTGAAACGAGCGAGCGCCTCAGACAAAAGCTCTACTCGCACATGTGAAAAACTCGCCATTGATGGGGTGTTCGAGGGGCAAATGTCATCGCAGAAGAGAAGATTCCTTTGGGTGAAAAACTATGACAAGGTTTATTTATGTGCGAACGTTCAGTACAGCCCAAGAGGGAGAATGAGCTTTTTTTGAGCTTAGTAACATCCCTCGGCGCCTTTAGCATATACTATTAGACAAATTACATCAAGGGCTAGGTAGAAACCTATGCGCCACGCAAAAGAATTCCATTGCTGTCTTGAAGTTCGATGCGCCAGGATTCACGTCGATGAGTCGAGAAATAGGAGCGCTTTTCAGCATTGGCCATATTCCGCTTTGATGCGCGCCATGCTTTCTTCTTTCACCCAAAATTGTAGAGCTTTGAGTGCTTACAGAACTCATAAAGTAGCTCATCTGGACGGGTTGAAGTCATTATTTTTTCAGACGAGCCTGACATCGAATAATGGACCTTGAAAGTCAGGGTCGGCAAGGAAATCCAAAGCGGAATTTTCTCACTAAAAGCACAGACGGTATAGCTTTTGTTGCTACACCACTCTCGAACTATAAACTTGAAGCATAATGAAACACCTCAAGGATTCCTAAGGAAATCGTATGTGTGACTTTCACAGATTAGATGCCGATCTGATAAGAATGGGTACCAGACAGGAGGCCCGCTGCGTGGGTGAAGGCAAAGACGCAAAAGGACCAGCGGACGAGTCGCAGCCAGGGTATGATTCGCTTCTTTCCAAAAAAATTACGACTCACCCATTTAGAGGGGCTCGATACCACCCCCAGCAGCCTAGACCGTATATTAGGTTGTCTCAGAAGTTCGTGCGTATTTTGAACTTATTTTTGAGCCTGCACTATTCCAAGCACGTGTGCAACCTATCATCATTATATGTACCACCACTATCAGTGACTTGTTACCAACATCCAACCAAAGATTGGCAACTTAACTCTCAAAGGGCTGGCAGTTATGAGCTGAAAAAGGCAGTGAGGTCGATTTTGAGGTGCTAATGGGAATCGTATTTTTTGTCGTCAAGACTCTACTTACCAGCGAGCGGTCGACCACCAATCGCTCTCTTCGACCATCTTGCACCAGTCGCCTGGGCAACCTGGTGCCGTTACTTCGTCCAACATGCTTCGCCTCCGGATCGGAACCATCAACTGCCGAACTCTAAGAACGGAAGCAAGACTAGCTGAACTCGAAGATGCTGTTACAGAGGTACCATTTGACATTATTGGTCTTTCTGGAACTCAGCGAAGAGAGAGCATATCCTTGAACTTCTTACAATCTGGTCACATGGTTTGGCAAAAAAGAGACAATCTACTTTCATTCTACGGATTCTTAATCAACGAGAAGTGGACAAAATTTTGCTCCTTTCATGTTATTTCGGAAAGAGTTTGCTATGTTGATGTCAACACAAATGTCAGAAATCTTCGAGTCGTTCAAGGGTATGCACCAACTACTGCTTATTCGGATATTGAATATCAAGAATTCCTCGAGCAGATCTCTCAAGCCCTTGGTGCACGCTTCCACTGCTTAAGCTGTACTGCTCTACGTAAAAAGCGACAACTAAGCAAAATTGTGGTGGGCGATTTTAATGCCAAAATTGGAAGTGGAGAGAGAAATGAGAAGTTCATCGGACGACATGGCCTAGGTGTTCGGAATGAAAGAGGGAATATGCTCGTTAACTTTTGTTCTGAAAACGAACTTTATGTGATGAACAACCATTTCAAAAAGAGAAAATCCAGAAAATGGACGTGGATTTCACCCAACATGCAGACGAAGAATGCTATTGATTTTGTGCTATCATCCGACCAATCCATATTCTCAGATGTTGATATCATCGGTCGATTCAAATTCGTTAGTGATCATCGACTTGTTATGGCTAAGATTCGTCTAGAAAGCAAATATCATCGATATCCCAGGAAAGCCAAAACCACTGCAAACTTCAATAAGTCGTCTTCTCCGCAACTTTAGAACACCTTGTCTCCAACAGAGTTTTTGACAATTACGAAGACTTGAAAAGTGAAATAAAAGTGGCCGCTGATACTGCCACAACAGAGGTCCCAAGAAGGTTCCACCTCTCCGAGGCTACGAGGAAACTGTTTGAGAGACGACATCTCCTTTTGCAGCAGCTCTCAGCAAGAAATACAATCGAGTTCTCCATGATCAATAAGTTATTACGTCTTTCACTTAAATCTGATCTCGAACAGAAGCATCTTTTGCGTCTACAAGAGGCTGTTTCAAAGGGATCCAGTCTTCGTCGAGTATTGCAGGAAAACAGAATTTGCAAAACGGCGTTAACAAGACTCAAAAGGAATGACGGCTCCATTGCAGAAACGCCTGCTGCTGTCGCATCTGTTGTTCAAGAATTCTACACTGAACTGTTTTCTTCAACAACGAGAGTCATCAACACTCTCCCACATATGCAGAATTCTGAAGAAGTGCCACCAATTTTGCCCGAAGAAATCGAACATACTATAAAAATGATGAAGTTGGGAAAGAAACCAGGACCCGACCACATGACCGTTGAAATGTTGATGGCCGCATATCATATACTGGAGAAGCCATTGACAAAACTATTCAATGACTTTCTCAGAAATGAAGAACTGCCTACAAGTCTATCCGAATCATCAATGTCGCTTCTATTCAAGAAAGGAGATCCTCTGGATATTCGTAATTTTCGCCCTATCGCTTTACTTCCGACGATCTACAAACTCTTTATTTCGATCATTGGACAGCGGATGATATCTTCCTTGGAAATAAATCAGCCTGTTGAACAGGCCGGCTTTCGCAGAACTTATTCTACCATCGATCACATCCACGTCATCAATCAGCTTATGGAGAAAAGCGGTGAATACAACATTCCCCTGTACATTGCTTTCATCGATTATCTCAAAGCGTTTGACTCTATAGAACACGATGCTCTGTGGAAATCGCTGTGTTGTCAAGGGGTTCACCCGAAAATCGTCCGCCTTCTCTCAAACATATATGAGTCCGCCATTGTAAATGTAAAGATATGTGGCCACGTGAAGCCAATCAAAATGAGACGAGGCGTCCGTCAAGGAGACCCTATCTCACCCGCACTTTTCGCTGCTGCACTGGAAACTGTTTTTCGAAATATCGATTGGTACGAGGAAGGGATCAACATAAATGGATACTATCTGAACCATCTCAGATATGCAGACGATGTTGTGATTATCGCACACGAAAGCCAGAAACTTCAGCGTATGTTACAAGAAGTTTACGAGAAAAGCCAAGCCGTGGGGCTCAAAATCAACTTCACAAAAACTACTATTATGACCAATTCTGTGATTCAACCCATTACCATCGATGGACACGATGTTCAATATTGTACCAATTTTATTTACCTTGGACAGAGAGTTTCCTTCGATGCGAACAACACAGTAGAAATACAAAGAAGGATCCAAGCAGGATGGAATGCATTCAATCGCCTCAGCTCCTTCCTCACTAACAGAAGGGTCCCAATGAGGTTTAAACGTCGCGTTTACGAATCTTGTGTGGAACCAGCGATACTTTATGGCTGTGAGACTTGGACGTTGAAGAAGAAAGATGTAAAGATGTTGAAAGTGGCGCAACGAAGAATGATGCGTAAGATGATAGGTATAACTCTTTTAGATCATCGTACCAATGTTTGGTTAGAGAATATTACCAAAATCCCAGATATAGCAGCGCGAGCAGTCAGAAGAAAATGGATGTGGGCGAGAAAAATGTTAGTGAAAGAAGATAATAGATGGACGAAGATAATCACCGAATGGCGACCATGGAAATGGAAACGATCAAATGGCCGGCCGAGATTGAGATGGCGAGACCCCTTCGTGTCATTCCTTGGAGAAACTTGGAGAAGAGCAGCTACAGACGACCCTATTTTATGGAGAAGAAGCATGCAACGACACATTGAAACAATGTGATCTCGTTTGAATAAATAAATAAATAAATAAATAAATGGAATCGTATTTTTTGTCGTCAAGAAGGCGGCTGAGCAGAAAGGGCAGATGTCTTTCGAAAGAGAATGACTACCGCTGCACGATGAATGTGGTAGGCCTTTTCAGCTGGGCTTCGATATTCAGAATCGCTTCATTATCGAAATGTGTGGCCTCGGGTGTTGTGGAGCGTACACACTTTTTCGAGTTTTAACGACATTTGTTGGGGTTTCACCGTGAGTCTCTGCCGTTGATCTCCCTACACTTGAGTGAATTCATATCTATAATGATTGACATGTCTCTAGTGGCTTACTCGATAACGCTCCAAAAGAGGTGGAGCACGACCTTGTGGTGAATTTCTTCACTTTTCACCCTCTTCTGTCCGATCTAGTCCCTGGAGATTCTAGGTGTGGTTGTCATGGAACCTGAGCTTCTCAACTGCAGTAGTAGCTTTGTTCAACCAGGGCGTACGGATGGAGCTGGACACAAATTGTAGACGGGACTCGTGCCGCACTCCTGTCATCAGTGATCAACTCATGAGGGAATCTTTGGTGAGGCTTCAACCATTCTACGAAGGAGCGAGAACCTCTACGCATTGTGCATCTGGAACACCAGGATGTGGTTGCCACAAAGCAGGTAGCCCCGTGTGGAGTGACTCCCACGAGAGAGCACAGATTCTCCAAATCCGACACTGATGGCCTCTCTGAACGTGGATTTTTCTACCGGCTGTAGTCTCCTGGGCAGAGAAGATCCAGCTATTCTGATACCTCACTGTTGGTGAGGGCGAGGAGATGTATCGCGATGCAGATGCCGCTTCAGGCTTCAATCGGTTTGTGGCTCAGTAGAGCTGCTTAAGTCAGAGCGCGAAAAACATAGCTCTTTTCTCTTTCCACTTTGAACTCGAAGAAGGCGACGATGGTGGGCAGGATTCGGGTATAAGCTACTGCACAGTGTGCCCTATCCACAGCCTACGTGAACACATTTTGAATTTGTTGAAGGAGCTTGTGGCATGAGATCCAAAAAATACGCACGAACTTTTGAGACAACCTAATACCATATCATCGAGGGGGAGATGGAGAAGGTTTGGGAGAGACAAATTGAATTGCATATATTCACGCCAAATTGACCCGCGCCTCACCCATTTCACGAACTCCTCAACCTACAAGTTCACTAGATAACCCTGTTCAACCATAAAAGGGGACCCTCCACCGAAATCCACAATGCGACCACCTCGATTGAATAGTCTACCGACAAGCTTTGCCCTGGTCGCAGCGCGCATTTTGCGATGCGGAACATCTTGGAGTACATTCTATTTGACGCTAAATCGCTACAGGTATCGTACGCTGCAACTCGTCCGCTGACTCGTCTGCCTCCGTGCCTTGCCCGCTGCGCGACTGGCCTCCTGTTGGTATAAGAAAAGGTTAGAAATCTGCCACATACATCGTACGCATACCCCTTGCCGTAGCCCACCCCAGGCACCATTTCGGTGCTTGGGAGGTTTGAGACGATGCTTCCCTTACTATTAAGTTCTCGAACGTATGCACTTGATTAGACTACCACGAAGAGTGGTAAGAAATCAAATTCCAACCGCTTCAGTGGATAATGGATTACCGGAAGAAATGGATTTTGCGTACTATCGGATTTTTCTCAACCAGGAAAGAGAATAGCGCGCAAACACGGATACGCGATTCAATTGCATTCTAATAAGTTCAAAAGGGACTGATTGAAGATAAAGCTCGTCGCGAAAAACAGCTTATTTACGAGCTCTGCGCTAAAAGCAGAAAAGGAGTAGTGCTTTAGACAGCAGAGACGAAATCGAAGAAAAATAACCGCTCAAAGGAAGCGTAAATGATGGAGCCGCAATATCGACTCTTTGAGACGAAAAGCCCTGACAATTGTTTCCTATTGCAAGAAATGAAGGAAGTTGCTTTCACGATAGATAAGTTAGGGGCCGATTAACCCCCTCTAGATGAAATGCCGCAAGCGCCCACAGAGGTGGATTCATCAACATAGGAGAGTCCCCGACTTCAGCTCGATGCTACGGGCAAAAGTAGTTTGCCTAGCCCTGATTCTTTGGACATCATCTCCTGTCAGTACTCAAATCGGGTGTTCAAGAAATGGTTTTGAGGTATGGAGGTTTTTTATCGTAGGGTTTATTTATATAAGAAAAGCAGGGAAATCGGAGAAAATCACTGACCCTCAGTTTCAAGTAAAGCAACATAAAAGATTGAAGCATCTGCTGTTGATCAATCCCCTTTTTGGGATGCGGCACGCATTCTAATTCCATTTCCATTTGTACATTCGTAGTGGCGTTTGAATGCGATGTGGCCTATACAATGACTTGCGGGGGCCCCGATGTACAGTGTTTTTATCCTCCCAGACAAGTCTGGTACCAATTAACCGACCCCGGAGGGATGGAAGGCTTGGTTGGCCCGGGCGACTCACGACCCAGGATTTGATCCCCGGACCGCTCGCGTGGTAAGCGCGCCACTTGCCACTACACCACTTCCGCCCTTTCGCTATCAATGTATCCTACTTACTGCAAAGCGCTTCGTCTGTCGCTTTGTGTGTCATTCCGTCACGGTTCACGGTGTCTTTCCTACTTCTTGCCTGGAGAGATCGGATAAAGTGTGGATGGGTGGCCATGTCTCGAGAAGTACAAAACATACATCAGCTAAGCGGAGCCCCGCCCACAGTGGGCGTGGCGTGCATCGAAATGAGCGGTACTGACTACCAAATTTCAAATTCAATTTCAAAACAGCATCCAGACAGGGAAATAATTGATGAAGGTGTGCAGTAAGCCGGATCGAGAAAAGGGATAACTATTTACGTACTCTAGAAGCGGGGTGCTTAATGAAAAATAGGAGAAAGCCTAGGGAGCAGGAAAAAAATTGTAGGGAGTCTCCGCTCACGTCATGTAGGGAGCCAATGTTTGACATGCTCCCCCACATGACGTGAGCGTAGGCCCGCCCACAATGGGCGGGGCGTGTCCTGAAGTGAACAGCGTCCCCCACAAGTCCTCATGATTCATTTCCGTGACACTTTAGATAGTGGGGAAAAAGGTGGATAGATGTCAGAGAAGGCGGAGAGGTTAAATGTTAATGGTAGACGTGGTGTGCATGTGATGACCGGGGAAAAAGGTGGATAGGGGCCGGCGGAGGAGACGAAATCAACTGCCACTTGTGGGAATGGCGCGCATCAAAGTGGCGGAATTTGTCACGAAACTTCTAAATTAGTTCAGAGGAGGTCCAGCCGGGAGATAAGTGGACAATTGTTGATGAACCAAGGAAGTTCAAAAGCCATCGGAGGGTGGGGCATGCAGCGTTGTGGGCGGAGCTAAGATCCAAAGTTGCAATATGGTCCCGAGGTAGCACGAAGACTGAAAAGAAAGCGGATCTAACAAAATAGGGCTAGTCAAGTCTTCGTCGAGTTTCGATCTAAATTTGAGAGTTTTTGCCGCACCATTTCATATCGCCGCAGAATGCTGTGCGCGCGGCAGCGTGCGGCTCCAACAGGTCCATACTTTTCCAAAATTAATGTACCCAGGAATGCAAGTAAACAGCCGCCTCAATGCAACCGCCTTATAAAAGGAGATTTCGAAGCGATGAATGCGCTGATGCACTCTCTAAATGATGGCCGCTAGCTAATGAACCATTAGTTACATAAACCATATTTAGCCATTCATAGCCTCCGAGCTCCTTATAAACCAACGCACTTTGACGTCAGAAGGTCTGTCGTTCGCTTTCCAATGTCCTATGACAATAGTTGAAGATTCTAAGCCCTACATTGACCTGTCACGTGTCCAGCTTCAGCGCATGTACTTATAAGAATTAAATTTATACAAGTGCATTCCTCTGAAGCCTTCCTTTTTAATGAGGTAGCTCCCAATATTAGTGTCAGTAGAGTATATAACAGATACGAGGCCCAAGACGATGATTTAGCCCTAGCACTACAGTAACAGCTGAACTAGTCTAATCCTTGAATCTTTTTTGTAGATAGCATAAATGGGGAGAGTATGTCAAACGACTGATTGGCTTACTGCTGATCCCCAGTAGACAGAATCTACTATCACAGATGAATGTAAGGTTTACGGCGCGACTCTGTTAACTAATCATCCAGGTCTTTTGTTTTGAGTAATCCACAACTGTAGAGCTCTGGTGTTTTTTTCAACGCCCTTCTTACTAGTGGTGGTGTTTGAGTGGAAGACCCGTGAAAAAGCGAAAGCTGAACGCTCCATTTTGAATGAAGGAGCGTTGATAGGTCAAGTGAATCATTACAAGATGCTTACTTGTCAACATTCTCGCATAGGAATTAAAAAGCTCGTATAACGGTGATGAGAGTCCCTTAGTATTATTCGCTTTCTTTGTACGGCACATTCGTTGCTTATAGACAAGACAAATAGGGAATGTTTTCGATAGTGGAATAGTCCCTGCGGCTTGTGTGGCTTGGCAGAAGTGCAAATCCGGTAATGGGCGTGTCCGACCAATGGCGGACTTGTAAACAATTAAGCTGCTGAGCCTGATAACTAACTTCGCCTACTTTTTTATCTCCCATTCAAAGATTGCAAGGTCTATCAAATTAATTAATTGGCAAGGTTTAATTCTACGCCGACCCCAATTCCGCTTACGCGGTGGAATAATGTAAGAAGCAGAGCGATTACTATAGGTTTCAAGAGGGTTCGCTCAGCAACCTTATCGTCCTGCAGAAGCTGTGCGACATGTGCTACGGGCAGCTAAGTAACGTTGATTCGTTTGGCGCGTATACTTCCACAATGCACTCTCTCCTGCATCGTGAAGTGACTTTGCGACATCCATTGTGTTGCTAATTGTTGCCAACATAGCTATAGAAAGGGTGAGAAGGTCATTCGCTAATATTTGCGGGAGAGGTGCCCAGTAGCTCGGTTTCTTCGTAATCGGCACATTCGTTGCTTACGTAGACCGAAGGAAATAGCTGGAACATGCTTCCGAATAGGTGGACAGTCACCCTTA